CAATGAAATATCAGACCAAAGCCAAGCCTTTATAGTAGTGAGGTATCGAAAATCGAACTTGTAGCGTTAATACGAAGCATTAACAATACGAAGAATTAAATTGTGGCGGAATGCTACAAGTTTTTCAAATACCTATAGAATGATAGGTTTCTTTTTTGTGAGTGTAAAACTTAAATACACCAGTTCGATATATATGTTAGTCACGGAGCCTGTAGTTTATGTGCTGTCTGAATGACTTACGAAATTGTGTTGTTAGTCATCAATTCTATACAGTATTTGCTCAAAGGCAGGGCCACTTGGTAATTAATATGTTATAACTTGTAAGTTAATAAAAGTAGAATCGTCAGATCTAATTGTGAGTGACCCTAGAAATCGAATGTTTGAATATATTAATATTGGGTGAGTTAAAGGAGTCGTGAGTAATTCTGGAAATTAAATGTTTAAATATCACAGTTGGGTGAGGTAAATCTGTTAATGTTAATACTCTTCTGTATCCAATGGTTTTAAATCTTGCAACAAATGCATTGTTTTACTCTTGGTGGAAACGGTGGTTAAACAAGATCTAAAGACTGGAAGAGTTTGGTTAGATAAGATGTAAAGAACTGAAGAGTTTGGTTAAACAAGAGTTGAGGTCGTGGTTAAAGAAAATCTAAAGAGCTTAGGAGTGTTGTTAAACAAGATCTAAAGTCTGGAGGAATTTGGTTAAATAAGATGTAAAGAACTGAAGAGTTTGGTTAAACAAGAGTTGAGAAGCGTGGTTAAAAAAAATTAATGAGCTTAGGAGTGTCGTTAAACAAGATCTAAAGAGCTTAGGAGTGTGGTTAAACAAAATCTAAAGAGGTGAGGAGCTCGGTTAAACAAAATCTAAAGAGTTGAGGGGCTCGGTTAAACAAGATTTAAAGTGGTAAGGGGCTTGGTTAAATGAGATTTAAAGAGCGGAGGAGCTTGGTTAAATGAGATTTAAAGAGCGGAGGAGCTTGGTTAAATAAGATTTAAAGAGTGGAGGACCTTGGTCAAATAAGATTTAAAGACGTGAGGGGCTTGGTTAAACAAAATCTAAAGAGCTTAGGAGGATGTTTAAACAAATTC